TTTTCATTAGTACTCTCTCCCTAAAATCCCCATACAAAAAACACACCCCTAAAACACCCCCAAATAACAAGACTTCTGAGAGTAAGAAAAGGGACTGCATGTAGACTTCAAGTGATGTTATTTATAACTTGGCATCCTGCAGAATTTTCTCCACTTTCTCCCGTCCTCTCCTCCTCTTTGTCCCCTCCCCCTCACCACTCCTTCACCAACAGTATATTTTCCTGTCAAAACATACTTGGCTACATGCAGTGCAACCAAAATTGCTGCTATTAGTTTAATTGAGACAGGGTGATTATAAATAAATTACACGCAGTGCTACCAAAATTACTGCTATTAGTCTAAATTGAGACAGGGTGATCAGTTATCACCAACTGTAGCTGAATTCAGAATGCAACCCACATGGGTGACCACAGAAATCCTGTAGTCATCTTGCAATCCAAAGGATGCAAGGCCAAATCCCTAAGAGGCTGGGTTTCTGACCACTGGCAACTGAGAGAACAAAAGTCCCAGCAATCTGGTTGGTGGAAGCCCCTTGCAGGCTGACAATAAACTTCTTAGAAACTTAGACCTGGAAAGGACCATGGTTAGAAACCTTGGAAAATTTTTGTAGTGTATTAGATATGTGTGTGTTTGCGTATCTCAATATGTGAATCTTCTACCACTTCCCTCAAAAGTTTTGAGATGGATTTTTAATATTATTTTGTTTTTTTCTAATTTTAAAAGAAATCTGTAGTTGATGCCTACTAGATATACAAGTATATTAAGCATTTATTTTCACAGATGGAAAACATTTTTAAACCACTTAGACAAGTACATTAAAGATAAACGACAGAGCCAAACGGGGATGACAAACAGTCCTGGGCACCCCATTCCTGGATGGAGCATGATGACGTGGAAATCCACTGATTAAAGGATTCTTCTCTTGTCTCCCTGGTTTCCTTCTTTAACCCTTAAACCTCAACTTCCCAGCCTGGGTAGGATCCCAAAACCAGAATGAAGGTGCTGGTTCTGTAGTTGAGGACCCTTCAGGAAATGGCCCTATGGGCTTCACTTTCCTCGTTTCTAGATCAAAATATATAGACATTCTTTAAGATGCCTTGTAGGTGCAAAAGTTTACATTTTATACTTAGGGGGCTGGAGAAAGCCTTT